TTTTCTTCAATAGTACCTACCTTTTCTGATAGGAATGTGATCTAGTTGGTACTATGGGGGGTCAAAAGTAAACATTTTCCAGTAGTTTTCACAAGCGCCGGGAAAAACAACATAAAAATTAAGGAAAAACGGGAATTTTTACGCAAAATCGATTTTCCAAAAAATCGAATTTGGTTTTTGGTGTTACTTTAAAACAAATTACCATAGATACATGAAATTTTCACTGGTTGTTTATATTTGCATTTTCTATACACGATAACATTTTCAAAATATTTTGATTTATTTTGAACTGTTTAGGGACATTTTCATTTTTCATTTTTTTTTAGTTATTTTTCTAGAAATATCAATAAAATTTTATTTGATGGTTAAAAAAACTTGAAAATTTAATAGAAGACTCCTAGTATATTGTTTCAAAGGCAGATGAAAAATATTAAAAATCGTTAGTCACAGTTTTTTTTTATAAGCATTTAAAGTTCAAAAATTCACAAAATATTGAAAAATCAAAAATTAGCAAATTATTTTGAGTTAAGAATTCGCACAAATTTTTCTTTTTAAATCTAAGATTTGAAAATGTAATACAAGATTACTCATAAGTTTGTCTACCTTTATCAATAAAAAAATCTCTACCGGACAGTCAAATTAAATTTTTATGAGCGTTTGAAATTCAAATTTTTACAACATTGGATGTTCACTCGATTTCTCATGTAGCGATTTCCTTATTTTGTTGTAATTCATAAACGAATAACTATAGATATATGAAAATTTCACTGAATGTTTATATTAGCATTTCCTATACACCATACAATTTTGAAAATATTTTGACTCTTTTTGAGCTGTTTACGGACATTTTCAGTTTTCAATTTTTTTAGTTTTTTTTTTTATAATTGTCAATAAAATTTATTTGGTGGGCCAAAAAGTCTGAAAATTGAATACAAGCTTTCTTATATATTGTTACAATATCAGTTGAAAAATTTTAAAAATACATAGGCACGATTTTTTTTTATAAGCATTTAAAGTTGGAATTTTGACAAAATTTATCAAAATCTCGAAAATAATCAATCGTTGGAATTAAAAATTATAAAATGTTCAGTTTTTATAACTAAGAGTTGAAAATTTAAAACAAAGATTCTCTTAAATAATTCATACTGTAACCAAAAAATCTAAAAAATATATAAACACACTTATTTTTTACAGACATTTTAATTTCAAGTTTAGACAAAATTTCATATTTAAACCAAGAATTACGATTTTAGTTATTTTGTTGTGATTGTATAATATTATTCGTGGGTACTTGAAATTTCTAAAGTAATCTACTATATATATCTATGATAGTATCAGGGTTTGTTGTTGGTGTATAATGCGTTATAAGTACTAGGTACCTAATGGATATTGTGATATGATTAATTTGGAATTCATTATAGGTCAATTTTTTTTAATACCATAGATATGTATATAATATGTCTTATACCTAGAAGGACATACCGTCTCCGCTCAGAATCGTTTTTCTTATACAATGATATTATATCATTGAATTCAAATTTAATACCATCCATTATACAATGACCCACTTGTAACCTACTGTACAGCAAAGCGACACCCACTTGCCCACCTTTTTTTCATATTATTTTCGTTCATGGTTATAGGTACCAACATGGTTATTGCCAGGGCCTCATATAAGAGTTAATGCAATTGCGACAACTGCCCCCGGCGCCAAATTGTTGTGGTTGAAAATATTTGTTCATACTTTTGAATTACCTATTACAAATTTTAAAATTTTAATTATTTTAATAATTTATTATGCTGTTTGAAATATTAGTCTAGGTAAGTAGGTATCTGTATGACTGTATACCTAATAATAGTTCCTTTTCCCTAATTTGTTGTGTTCCAATAGACATAACTATACAAATTTAAAGTTAGTTAAAAAATGCTCTTAACGTTACACCATAACACCATATAGCTTAAAATTTACTTATTATTCTAAAATATGTAATACCATGTAGGTACCTACCTATTAAAACTTGATAAAATGATACATGACAATTGTATTAATAAAATTAAAATAGATACCTTAATACTTTATCACTATTAAAATTCTAAACAATAGGCAATTGTTTTAATTAGAAATTATTTATGAACACAGAACAGTTAAGTATGTAAGTAGTAGGTATATTGAAAAATATAATATTAATTTGAAAAGTTTTATTACATTTATTTTTTTTTTGTTCATGGTAAAATATTAATATGATTCAGTGGTGCTGAAGTCCATTAAGCCCGATTAAGGACTTAAGTAAAGTTAAGGTCGGGCCGTGACTAGCTCTTTTTTAAAAAAGCCTATCGGCTTCATTTTATTTGCATCATAACTTTATTACGAGTAAATGTATATAAGGGATACCTACCTCTATATTAAATAAATTGAGATATTGTAGCCACGAAGTTTTGAAATTGTCCAACAACGTTTAAAAACTTTGACGTCAATAATATGAATATAATATGATCCATGAAATACCTAAATATCAAAAAAAAAAAAAGGATCGATCCCTCATAATCGGATATTCCCCGTGGGTACGCCAATTTTTTTTTACACGGGGGCACAAAATGTTGTGCAGCACTGATCCCATATTATATTATATATTCTAGATTCCATACCTACATACTATTTTTTTTATTTCAATATCTAAATATTAACTTAATGTTTCTGTTCAACCAATATTAAGAATTACGATGGACTAAAACTAATTGTGCAACTACATGAATAACTGGTTATAAAAAACCGTTTTATGTTGGAAATAGCCATGTATCTACATAGTTGAATTCTTCAAGTATGCAGTATGTCCCAGTAGTCCCGTGTAACCCTTAGTATATCCGTGGAAAATCAATATATTATTTAAATTAATATTTTTAATTCAAATATTGTCAAAAAAATTTTATAGGAAAATAAATTATGCAAATTTCCAAGATGGCCATTTTGTTGATCGTATTTTTTAAAACAGGTCAAAAAAAAAATGTTAAAATTTAATGAAAATCGCCCAAGTTAAGAGCTAATTATTATTTTTAATTTTAACCGAAAAATCAGTGTGATTGTAATAATTAACATGAGAATCGTATTTTTATAATGCCATATATGCATGGGTAACATAACTATTATTCTTAGAAATTCAAAATAACAATCAGCTCTAACTTGGGCAATTTTAATTACATTTTAATATATTTTTTTTTTTTGAACTTTTTTAAAAAATACGATCAACAAAATGGCTATCTTGGAAATTCAAAAAACTTATTTGCCTAAAAAATCTTTCGAAAACTTTTGAAAAAAAAAAGAATATTGTATCAGAATATCCATACTTATGACTTTAAGAAGTTGCATTTGAATATATTGATTTTCCACGAAGATACTCAGGGACTTCTGGGACATACTGTATTTTTTAACTTGTGCAGCAATTTTACACCTTATACCTACCTATTAATTAGTTTTTTGTCAATGGACTTGTCAATGGTCAATGGACTTCTGAAGTTGGATTCTAGTTACAACAAATTGTGTGCAACACATTTCTGCAATTAAAAAACTACTAAATCCAATAATATCAATTAATAATTAAATTAAATTTTATAAATATTTCTATAAATAAAAATTTAAAGCTTCTATAAAAAAGTTGATACTCTTGTTCACCGCCGTTATTCTTATTTTTGAACATTCTCTCTCTCTTACGTTTATCAGTTATCAACAATCCCGTTATTTCCTTTATAATTAAAATTATCACAATACAGTAAGACCACGATAGTCCGAATAATGAGACCCAGGGTGATCAGATTAAGAGGGTTTGACTAAATCAAAAAAGGAATAAATTATTATAAATGCAAAAATATATGTATGTATAGTCAATCTATAATTTATAAATGCTTTTAGAGTTTTCTCATTGCATATACATTGTAAGTTTTCAAACCATGTTGGGTATATTCTTAATTTAGTTCAATTCACAAATGCCACTTCTTGTATATCAAAAAAACATAGGGAAAAGAAATTGTCTTACTGTACTATTTAAAATGTATAAAACAATTAAATAAGATATTATATACAAAAAAATAAAATAATACTTTGCATAAGAGAGTTAATTGTAGGTAGTGTTTAATTTTGTTTATTTACAAAAAGTCACTCAAATAAAATAATATTTTCATTTTATTCACCCTATATAAAATAATTTAAAATTCGTTTTATTCCCCATCATGTAGGGCCAAAAACACAATACATTATAATATATAATACTATTACATAGTTAATTATCGTTAAATTTGTTTTTGATTAATCCTCTACATTATTATAATGGGAAGAGAAGTATCATGGCACCATATTTATTAACTTTGCCATAATATAAATGTATAAAAAAATTATAATAAATAAATTCATTAACATATAACCAATAAACATTAAAGATAAGTACAAATTATAAAAATATAAATTAAATAAAACCTTCTCCTTACAACTTAATACAGTACAACTTCATACTAATGTATTATTTTTAAAAAACAATTTTAATTTAATCTAAAATTAAGAGTTGTTACAGGAATGATTACACTAAGAAATGAATAAAAATATTAAAAAAAAGCCAAAAAAAAAAAAATATTATTAATTTCTTACATATAGGAACCGAAACAGTCTTTTTTAGATTATTTAACAATTTTTCACACCAATTCTTTGTAATAATAATGCGGGAATAAGGTAGTATTTGATGAGTTCCTCAAAAAAAGAAACAATGGAAGATAAAAAAAAAATTAATATTCGACTAGTTTATTTGTTAGTTATTTATACAGCAGTATAAAATTTATTTGGGTAAAAATTTGGCTAGAAATTATATTTTATGTACTAAGAGAATACATGTTTTTGTTTACAGTTTTATCTAATAATAATAATTCTAATTTATACAAACATTTGGTAAGAAAAAAAATAATTGTAATAATAATTAATAAAAAATATAAATAATAATGAACAATTGCTGTAGTATCTACTATAAACCACTGTGTACTGTGTTTTCTTTTTGGTGATCTTGATGATTTTCAAGCACAGTATTATGACTTAAGCCACCTCCACCACCTGGACAATGTTGTTCAAATGGTTGTGATCCAACAAAACAACAATCTTCTTCACACACACTACTAGCATTCCTACTATGGTTGGTTGAATGATATCTTTTAGGCCTCCCAACATCCCAAGTAACTGTAGCTGTGGCTGTTTGTTGATGCTGTTGGAGTCTTCTTCTTTTAGCTGTTGTTCTAGTAATTTTACCCACCTCTGTCACCTGTGACGATGGAAGTGATGTTAAACATGAAGACGTTAAATTATACGCAGCAGCTGACTTCTTAGTTTTGCTTGCAGTTGCTGTTTTTTTTTGATTCAATGCTGCAGGGGAACTCCTGCCAGAGGTCGACAATAATTTCATGCGATTATTACGTGTTGATATAACACATTTCAATTTACCAGTACTAGACTGTTGCTGGACAACATTCTCTTTTTGTTGTTCAGAGGATGATGGCGTTTGGTTTTGACAATTCTGTTGTAACAACTGTAATTTTAATCGTTGTCGTAGACCAACACTTCCTACAGGCCTTCCACATTTTCGTTTTACAATTGTATTTGGTGTAACAGGTGTTACAGATGCAATAGGTACAGCAGTTTTATTTTGTGCAGGTGTACGTTGCTTTCTTGGTGTTTTTACTTTTTTTACTTTAGTGGTAGCACTACTGGTATTGCTACTTGTTGTTGTACTATTACTACTCACACTATTGTTTCGACGGTATGTTGGAGTTTTATTTTTTTTATTAGGGCCAGGACGACGACCTGGGCGACATGGCCGACCAGGACGACCAGGGCGTCCCGGTCTTCGTCCACTTCGCTTAGGCGAGGCAGCTCTTATTTTAACTTTGGATTTTTCTTTGAGTAGCTCCTGCTGCTCCAATTTTATACGTCGACGTCTCAGCCTCTGTTGTTCTGCTGCTGCTGCTCTTCGACGTTTGGCAATATCATCTCTTTCAGTATCACTATCACCATTTGGATCTTCTACAGCTGTGTTCATGGATGATGGGGTAGCTATGATTTTTCGACGTTTTTCTTTCGGCCAACCAGTCATATTTGGCCGTTTTTTCTTTCGCTTATTTGATATCATGTCTGTACCTAAATCAGAAGACAACGTTTCACCATGATGATTATTTGTTAAACGTTCAGTTAAAGCTAATTCACGTTGTTGATAATACAGTTGTAGAGTTTCATCTGTTAAATTAGTACATAAAAACCTCTTGTCAGCAGTTTGTTCATACATTATTTGTAAACACATGTTATCAGGTTCTCGATTACTATCAGTATTTTGAGACCAAATTTGGTCTTGATTACCTTCAATTGGTAATATTATAGCATTATTTGAGAACTGATAGTATTCTTTATTTGGATCAAAAGTTTGCTTAGCCTCTTGGGCTATTTTACAACGGTTTTGTTCAGCTATTTCTTGTACTTTAAGTAATTGTTGACACACAAATGCTGCACGTAGTCTTTCATCCCGTGCTCGCCTCCTCACTACATCCACATGTTTTGTACGCAATTTCACTCTTTCTTGATCTACAGCGGTATTTACAGAAATTCGCTGTGGAGCTGGTTGTTGAGCACACAATTTTGGCGGAGGTGGAGTAGTTGAACGACGTCGACGACGACGTTTAATGATACGTTTGTTTTCTAATTGCCGACGATGTCTATGATGACGGAATCCTGACAAATGTTCATAACTTTTTGGCATGGACATCCTCAATAAACATGGTACATCCATATCTAAAGAATTTTGGTTAGTTTCTACTGTTTCTAGATCTGCTTCTGGTTTATTAGACTGTTGATTTCCAACTTTATCAGGATTTCCAACTTTGTTAGACATGATTGCTGCTAATGTAGATGCATGTTGACGTGGCGACTTTCGCGGACTATTTGATTTTAAAACAACCTGTAATAGCTTGTTTTTTCTACCAGGAGGCCGACCTTTTTGTCGTTTTACAATAGTTGTTGATGTCGAAGGATGATGTTTTGTACCATCAGACACTTCAACAGGAGCTTTTGGTGTTGATTTGCAAGCACTGCCACGTCTTTGAAGAACTGAAGTTTTATACTTCTTTAGTGTAGAATTGGTTTTCAGTGAGGTTGAGTTAGAAGTACCATTAGTTTTACTAGATGCTCCTCCACCGCAAATCAACCTTATTTTACGTAACGCTTCTTTAGATGTTTTTTTTTGAACATGACCAGTGAGCGATGCACCCGAATATTCCCAACTTGTTGGCCAATATGTGCGACCGTATAAAACTGAAGAATAATCAGAAGTGGATGATTTCAAATCAGTACATCGTCGGTATCGTTCAAAAATGTTACAATCAGCTAAGAACCCATACTCGACTAAATCAGAGTTATCTGGCAGTGAAGACTTGTCTATTACACTTTTTTCAGAATTATCAGATATCAAAAGACGTTTTTCAGCAACAGTTTCTTCGGTATCAAATTGTTTTCTTTTACGATTATTAATTTTCTTTTTATAAGTGATATCTACAAAAATACAATCATCATCTGTACCATCTTTATTGTCTTTATTTTCACCTTTATCATCTTTACCATCTTTATCAACTTCTGGTGACGGTGCTAAATGTTTAACAGGATTAATATAGGAGACTTCCTTTTCACTATTTTCTTGCTCATCGTCGTAACTTTCAATACCATTACAGACAATCAGTGACTTTTGTTGCTGCTGCAAACGTTCCAAACTAATTGCTGCTGATTCTACTTCAGGACTCGTTATGGTTAAATCACAGACTTTTTTCTCTTCTGATAGTTTACTAGCAGCTTGTTGCAGTGCTTTTCTATTAGCAATATGCTTCAGATTTTTTCGTCTTGGGGGCCGACCACGAGGTCTAGGAGTAGGAGTAGTAACTGATGAAGTAGAACAATTAGGTTGTACAGAATACGATCCAGGAACTGTTGAATGGTGCAATGGTGTAGGCACCGTGGTTGACGATATAGTCCTTGTACGCAAACTGAGGCCTGAAGAATCATATTGAACCTTGTCATAATTGGTCTGCTTATCATGTCTGTCTGAAGTAATGTGCTGCTGTCCATTTGATGAAATATCTCTTGTTTTTTTGTCAATCACCTGAGTAAAGAGGAAAACAAAATTATTAATCCTAAGTATAAATTCAATTGTTATAATTTTACACATATTATTGTTATGAAGTATAGAACTTATGTTTACTTGAGAATTAAGAACTATTGTACTAAAAATTTACAATTGTTTTTGATCTTTTATAAAATTATGTTAATACTTTTTTCTAATTTATTTATTACTTAAAAGGATACCTATCAGAGCACCATTTGATTTCTCTATGTATTTGTCTATGTGCAACATAGATATGTAATTTATTTATGTTTTTGAGTAATCTTAGAGTAAAATCACCCATTATAAAAACAATACAAAATAATATTTTTGAGGGTATAACAAATCGATTTGTCTAAATATTGTCTCAAAATAATTTAAATTTACAATTTTTTTTTTTTATTTTGAAAGTTTATTATAAAATTAAATAACAATAAAATATAAAATCGATATGCATACCCTCAAAAATATTAACCTCATTAGTTTTGTAATAGGTTATTTTACTCTAAGATTACTCAAAAAAGAATTAAAAAAAGAATTTATGTGAAAGGATTTTATCTATTGTTGCGGGTGGGGTCTGAGAGAAAACAAATATTACGCTGACATCCTATGACTTAATAAAATAATTATAAAAATAATTAAACAAACACAACTCCATTGCTGTCCTTTAAAAATATGTATTTCCTATATTATGGAATCAAAAAATATAAGAAATTATCCATGACTAATGAGTAAATAAAACCCTAGGTACACAATCCAGAACTCTAAAATCCTAAATTTTATTAAATGCAATATTTTTGAATAATAAAATGCAATGTTTAATGTGTAAGGCTAAGCATTTTATGAAAAAATAGGATATATACAAGTTAAAAATAAAACTAGAAACGTATAATATATAAAAATAAAATATTACATTTTCAAGCTAAATAAAAATATGTATGGTCGCCAGTAAGCAAACCTTATTTTACCATGATTGACTAAATAAAAACTTAAGGCTTAAGGGTTCTTACCAAAACAATATTCATATATATTAAGTGACAATTAATAGTTTATATTTATATTTAATGGCAAATACTCCATGTTTACTTAAATAACAAAATTTAACATGTCTTTGATAAACATACATTATTGCCAAACAGATAAAATAATATTGTTCTATTAATTAAAATGTTTACAAAATCATGATAAAGTAATATGGTATCACACCATTTTAATGTATTTGATGGAACTTTGCACACGAATGGTGCCACTTCTTATTGGTCAGTAAATGCAGTGTATAGCTATAACGGTACAATACAAACGTATACGAAAACATTAATTAATAAAGGTGTGACTCTAGGTAAGTCTAAAACTATTATTTTGTAATTCAATTTTATACAGTTTATGAATGAAATGTTTAAATATGTAGATAAATTATGTATTAATGAATTTAAAATATTGACATCATAACTAAACTTTTTATTTTATTTAAAAATGAGTTATAATATGTTTGTTTGATGTCTAATAATTTTTGGTTTACTAATAAATATATAGGTACACAAATTACAAAACTGATTGAGCACTAGTATATATTCCATTTTTACTTAGAGCCAAATAAGATGGGTCTCCATGTCCATTTTGATAACACACTATGCAGTGGCGCCAAACACATATGGCAAGTGGGGTAAATACCCCAAAACATTTTTAGTTGATTGGGGGGGGGGGGTCATGAGTGACTGCTTTTATGTATAAAAGGTAGGCAGGTGGGTGCCCTTAAACAAAGTTTACCCCAGTGGTTTAAAAAAGGTCCGGCGCCACATGTTCATTTTATCAATTTGTGTGAACAAATGCTACGAATGTTTAAATATTTTCTGGTTGCAAAAAAAATTCACCATAAATATCTACACTACGTGATTATAAAAGAGTCATAAAAAGTTCTCTAAAAACCAATTTTAATTAGCTCAACAGACCTACAGTCTATTCCACGAGAGAATAATTAGTTTTAACACTTCACAAATGATGCGAATATGATAATTCAATATTTGTCACGCTAACATCGGATAGTTGGTCAGAGATGCGCAGCACTGACGGAAATCGGTCGACTGACTGATTATTATCTCGTAGAATAGACTATAGTTAAAATTATTTCAATAATAATTTATTTGTTATAAATAAAATACTAATATTTACCTCTACGACTGGAGTTGCTGTAGATAGTGGAGATTTTTTAGTTGTTATCATAATAGTGTCATCTATGATGTGTTCTTTACCAACTGCTGAGTCTCGAGTCGAAGTTACAGAATTACTACTACTAGTACTGCTAATGGAGGCTACTGTTGAATTGGTAGGGTTTCGTATTTTTGGGTGTTGAGCTGAACTATTTATCATATCTCTATACACCTCATTGAAGCAATTATCAATAACTACAACTAATTCTTTATCAAAAATATCAGTTGTTAAAAGTTTAGAATGTTTAGATTTATCAGCAAATGATAATTTTCCTATCCGATTCTTTGTGACTTTTTGTTCCTTCGTACATTTTCCTTGTTCTTGTTTATTACGATTTACACCGTTTAAATTAGATTTTAGAAGTCGTAATTTAGGTGACGACCGAGCAGAAGTCAATTTTTGTTTTTTTCCTAAACGTAAATCTTTTTTGTTTGAGACTACATCCTTCTTCCGTGATTGGGTTTTGTTCCCTTCATTGTTTTGAAATGTGTGGGCATTTCTAATAGAAACAAAATTTAGTATATTTGAATTATGATAGAATGAAATATGTTTGAATTGACTACTTACTGTGGTTGATTGGTAATCGTAGGGGGAGGAGGATTTGGTCGTATCAAGTGATTTACGTCTTCAGGCGCAAGTCTATGTAACAAAACAAGTGGCTCAAATGGCATTTGATATGATTGAAGTCACAATTTTCGTTTAACATGAAGGTATCTCCTAGAAACATAATTTAACAGAAGTGTTACAAATAAGACATCTCACGGAAACCTCAACACTTAACAGAGATGAATAATACATCTATTGTAATAATATTATGTCAATGATTACTATACTCAGTTCAGGTTAAGATTGAACCGGCTTCGCGCATGCAGACAGTGCCTGCCCCCCCCCCATGCGATGGCTATGCATTCTGTGATTGGCCGACAGTCATCGCTGGCTGTAGTCGATCGTCGGAACCGGTGCTGGCAGCAGTGCATGAGCTCCCAAAGGTGTCCGGAATGCAAAAAAAATAGTGTTTTGGTCGTGCGAGCAGTTCAATCTTAATCTGAACAGAGTATAAGGTCAGTGTAAATTCTCGAAAATCAAAATTTTGAGTTTGTGCGAAGACCTGTAGCGAACAACGCGATTATATTATGAACGCGACAAAAGACCAGACACTTGCTTGGAGTGATTAAGGTTACTAGGGTACCTATTGCAGGTGGAACGTATCAGTTATGTGAGAAACACGACGTTGGACTTACGAGTAAGGTACCGCTGGAAGGTGGCTCGGAGACGTCGAAAAACGCGGTCAGTTTCACGATACGGAGTCACCGGTTGTTCGGACAATGACGTCTACGGACTAAAACTATATCTTCGTGTCACCTACTGGTGGCGCAAACGTGGCGTCGCTAATGTAGGAGCGGGAACGTCGTGGCGGCCGAGATGATGACGAACTACAACGAGTACAACCGTGACCCGTCGCGTTAAGGAAGCAGCGGCAGTAATGGAGGCGACGGCGGCAGCTGCCGCCATAATCGATAGGCACAAAGAAGACGGCACCAAGCGTCGTCGGTTCTCGGAACGGCGCGCGCCCCAGGTATTTGTTCGATTTCGACGCCTATGACAACCGCGTCGTGACCGATCCGGAACAATGGGCTACGGGCGACAACTGTACGTTATACGGTATGGCGGCGGTTGTGCCTAGCAAATATGGCTTTTGGTACACACGCGCGCACGGAATGCGGACGGACAAGGTTCGCGGTCGACGGAAACGCGTCCCCAGTTGTCGTGTCGGCGGACGGTGGGCGACACACTGTGTGTACTAGTGCTGCGGTGGATGATTGAACACACGGCACCTCGACGACTGACGGTATCGAAAATTAACGCCAAAAAACAAGACGATAATAATTACACCGATAACGCGATAATAATAATAATAATTCGTCTAAAAATAATAATAATAATAATAGTAATAATAGCTGCGGCAGTCGAGACGACGTGAAGGTAAGTACACGACGACGCGCACTCGATACTCGATGGTAATAATAATAGTAATAATAATAATAATAATAACAAATACACTCGGCGGCGGCGGCGGCGACTACTACGACAACGATGGGGAGCAGCGGCAGCGGTGTGCTGACGAACGGGCTGCGCCGCTGCGGTGATATCCGTCGACTGGGAGAGGGGTTGGGGTGGTGTAATAAGGTAATACCAAAACAACGCCGACGACCGTTGTGGACGCGTTGTCGATGGACTGGCGGGTGGGCGGCCGATGGCGCACGCGAGCGACAGTGCGGCGTGCGTGCGTGCGTGCTAACATGCGTGTGTTTGTGCGTGCGTGAATGCGTGCGCGCGTGTGTACGATGATGGTGCAGTGGTCGGTTGTGACGGGGACGAGAGCGGTGGTAAGTGCTGCGTGCAGGCCGCCGCCGCGCCGCCGGCTCGGCCGTCCGGACTCCGGATTGTTGGCCGCCGCCGTTGCTGGCGCAACCGCCGGTCGACAGGCGCGCGCGCATCGAGCACAACACACGACGCGCGCACGCACCGAAACGCACACGGACGGGCGACACAATCCATATAACATGCCTTGGCGGAACGAAAATACGAAATCGCGTTGAACAAAAAAAAAAAATATATATACGTACATACGTTAAACCTTTCCATGAGTTGGTTTCTAGTTTTTTTTTCTCTTCTTTCACTTCCCGTCCGCCCGCCCGTCGTTGGTGTTATATATTATATATATATTTATTTTTTTCACTCGGGCACTCGGCTTACAACGTTCGAGTTCCACACAATAATATTACGTGCTGCCCAAACGGCCAAACCCACTATATAATATTATTATACGCGTAATATTATTACAATAATAATATTGTCATGTCGGTATGCTCACTCGCCGGTTCTACAGCAGTAACGTTTGTGACGGGGATATTTTTATATTATTCTTTAACATAACGACGATTATCTATATACCAAAAATCGCGATCGCTATTTTTATCGAAAACACCATATGGATTAACAATGATGTCTTATTAGCATAGTGAATAATATTAATTAGTGGGATCGTGATTGATTTAAAATTAATCGTCGAATAATAGCCGGCGTCGGTTAATTATAGATATTGTCCGCTCCACAAGTTCCGATGGATCGAATTAGGGAATCCAAACAAACGAATAGGAATTTCGACGATTTCCAAACGTGTGTACGCGGTACGCGTTGTCGATGTATAATAAACGGCAATAATTATTTTTTTTAACGACGGTCTTAAAATATTATTATGTCGTCAACGCGACCATAAACGTAATAAAAATAATATTACTTTTTCGGCTCGCGTCCGATTTTCCCATGCGACGTTACGCCATGCGCCGCCGCCACGATATCCTCATACACGTATATATTATAATATATATATATATATATATATATATGTGTACACAAACTATAACACGGTTACGTTGACGATATAACGATTTATTATGACGAGTAGTGTGCGAGACGCATAGCGATTGCTAACGTCCGTCCAAGTGCGTTCGGCAGCGTAGTCGGCGTTACTGCACTATACTGCGTAGTATTATATTATTATTATTTATTATTATTTGTGCCGGTGGATGACGGTAAAACGCCATGCCATGCCATACCATACCATACGGTGTGCGATTATTATTATAGAGGTCGATTTACAGACGAACAACGACGCGTATTACTCACATTATAATGCCACGTCGTGTCAATTTTCGTGAAAAAAAATATGACAGAGACGCATATCCTTATTTTTGACTACCTACCTATATAGTATATTATACATACTCTCACGTATAATATGATATAATACATAAATATACCAATATAATATTATATACACACCGACCTTGTCAATGATATAGACATATTAGACACTTTTTTACCTATAAATTGGCTAGACTATCGTTTCATTTTCATATGAATTTTCAGAATATTATTATACTGGCTGACATGTCACATAGGTACAGAATACAGATATACTACAGTAGTCAGTAGTACAGGCAGTACAGTATAACACTATATTATACTTTATAGTTTATACTTACCAGTTACCATTTAACCGTACTACTATAATAGTAATAAATAATTACTTTACCTACCTTTGGTAGATAGTTCTAATATTACATACATAACTGATAAACGTAAATAGGGTCAGTGAGGTCCTCACTCCTCAAAAGCATAGGACTAGAGCTCAAAAGGTTTTCACAACCAATGATCTGCCCCCTATGGCACTCTACATACACTTAATTTTAACTACACTTGACACTAATTCAAAACAATCAAATGCAATTTAAATTAATACATTTACCTATACATTAATATAAATTATAAACAACTGTGTGACGTACCTATGTAATACTTTATACCATTGATTATAAATACTAATACTAGTATGATCAATGCATGATTATAATATTACATACTGTTGTAAAATTGTATAATTTAAATCTTATAATTATAATATTTCACCCTTCCTACTTTCTCAGAAATTGTTGATAATTAAATGTTCATTAATCATTATTTTTAAATTTTGTTTAATAACTTTTTTTCAGCGGCAATAATTTAGGTACCACAGATTATATAAAATATTTAAATATATTTATTTATTTATTTATTTATTTATTTAATATTAACGGACGTCAGTCCTAAAACATAATAATATTAACATTGTGTTACACTTACACATTAATACGTAAAACAATAATTTATAGATAAATATATACTTAAAATTAGAGAATGAGTAATATAATAAAGCTAAAGTAGATAGAATAAAATTTAAATATACAAATTATTATTCAAATATAATCGAAGACAAAAGTATTACCTGCAGTCATAAGAAGGTTAGCAGGAGAGTTCAAGATATAATTTTTTGTTGAAAAAAGTGGATAAAACTGTTTAGGATCTCTAGTATTAAGGTGATTAATTTTAAAACGGATTAAAGAGAGAATTTCAGGACAGTCTATTGAACCTAATATTAGTTTTTGTAAAAATTTAGAGAGTAAAAGTGTACGACGGTCAGAGAGTAGAGAAATATTAAGAAAATTTAAAACGTTAATATATGTGCCGTGGATAGGTCTGTTTATGTTAAATTTAAATGAGATAAAACGTAAAAAAATATTTTGCACTGATTCCAGCGTAAGAGCTTGTTTCGACGTACTGTTAATCCAGATGAGGGGGCAATACTCTAGATTAGAACGGACTAGGGAATAGGATCTGAAAATGCAGCACAAGTGCGTTTAATGAACCCTAAGTTGCGAAAAGTTTATTTTTAATCATTTCAGTATGTAGAGAAAAATTTAATTTACGATCAAAAATTATACCCAAATCTTTAAATTGATTAACAAGCTCGACATTTGTACCAGAAGTTGAGTATTGAGAGTTAATGGGATTTTTAATCTGGTAAAATTTCATAAATTTACATTTTTGTATATTTAAAAATAGATTATTCTCATTACACCACAAAATAAGGTTATTAATGTCTAATTGCAAATTAAGAGCGTCTTGTTCTGATTTAATAATTTTTACTAATTTTGCATCATCGCAAATAGAAGGATATTAGAATTAGTGATGACATTAGAAAGATCATTAACAAATATATTAATAAGAAGAGTTGACAAGTGGTCACCTTGAGGAACACCAGAAGGTATATTAAACTGTGTAGAGGTAA